AAGCATAGTCTCTATGCCTTCATCCAGCTCACTGATAAAAATTTTAAGAGCACAGGGTCAAGCACAGGTCCCTAAGGTACTCCACTGGAGACCTCTTGACATTTTCACATTGAAACATTGCCAACTGCAATCTAAATTCAGTCATCCAACCAGTTCTTAAGTCATCTGACTACATTATCATCTAATTCATATCTCTCCATTTTTCTCTGCAAGAATAGTATGATATATTTTATCAGAAGTTTTTCTAAGATGGAGGTGAATTATAGCCACAGAATTCCTCCCACTTACTAGTATATTAATCAACCCTGTCAAAGAAAGAAAACAAAGTTAATTTGGCATAATCTGTTCTTGATGAAGAATAGCTCATTTTCACTTTGGTAAAGTTTTCTCTTTCACATCTCTTAGTTTCCCTACTCCTTCCTCTAGTCATCAAAGCCTTCTCCTCTTGTGTCAGTCCTTGCTATTCATCAATACATCCCTATTATTTTAATAATTATTAATCAATCAACAAGCATTTATTAAGCACCTACTATACAACAGACACAATGCTAGGCGCTGGTGATACAAAAACAAAAATGAGACAGTCCATGCCCTCAAGGGGCTTACATTCTACTTGGGGCAGACATGTACAAAAGTAAGTACATCCAAAATAAACACAAGGTATAGATTTGGTAGAGTATGAGAAGTTTGCACTAGATACTCTGGGAATCAGGAAAGACTTATGTTACTGATAGCACGATAATAAAATGTAAAAAGCTGATTTTACTTTAAATGCCACTTTCAGCTCTCTCCCTCCTTGATGCTTTCCCCCCTTCCCTAACCTTTGTTCAACACACACCTTCCCTACACCTGCCCAAAGTGAAAACCACAGGAGCTCATTATGTTGTGTCCAGGTATAGGGAGAATGCTAGCTTTATTAGTGTTGCATATTATGGTGGGAGAGATATACTGTATATGAATATGAAACAGGATAAAAATAATAGTATTCTATGTTGCTATAAAATTTGTAAAGCACTTTCCACATATTACCTCATTTGATCCCTATAACTGTCATGTAACATAGGTGCTATTATTATCTGCATTTTACAGATGAGGAAATTGAGGCAGACAAAGACTTACCTAGGGTCACGTAGCTACTAGTGTCTGAGGCTGGGTTTGAACTCAGACCTTCCTGAATTCAAATTTAGCACTCTATTTGCTTTTCTAGCTATACAAGTAACTGGTATAGTCAGAATTCACAAACCCAGGTGTTGTCACCACAAATCCAATGTGTTTTCTACCACACTGAGTTGTTGTTAATGGAAAGATTCAGTCATTCTTTGAGAAATAATGGCCCTTGTTTCACTTTGAAGCAATAGGTCCTGAGTTTACCCATTAAAAACTCATATGGTATAAGCTCAACTGGGCCCTCAACGATATTTGGCAATCTTGCTATTCAGCACACTGAGCCTCTATGTTATTCCTCACAGCTACTGCTCTTAACGCCCAGGGTTGTTATGAGGTTCAAAGGAGATAATATTTGTAGAGCCCTTAACACAGTGCCTGGAACATGGTAGGTGCTTAATAAATGCTTGCATCCTTTCTTCCAAACCTTTGTCTCTCCCCTTCAGCCCCCAGTCTCATCCTCACCCTGACACTTAAAGCTGATGACCTCACTTCCTACTTAGTAGAGATAATCAAAGCCTTGCAACTGTAAACTATCTTAAGTCCTTTCTCTTATGATCCAAAATTTAGGTTCCATCATCCATTTACTATTCCTTGGATAGGCAGTATGGTACCCAGTATCTGAGGTCAGAAGACTTGAGTTTGAATCCTAACACTGCCACTGACTACCTTTATAACATTAGACAAATCACAACATATCTGGGCATCAGTTCCTCACCTGTAAAATGAGAAGTTTTAGCTAGCTGATCTCTAAAGTCCTTTCCAGGTTCCTATGATCCTTTCCATATTTCAGAGGAAGAGGTAGCCTTATTCTCTACCAAAGCTAATCCTTCTAGCTGTGTTCTTGATCACATCCCTCTCACCATTTGCATAAACAGTCCAGGCAATCACTGGCTGTCCCGATGCTAATTGATGGCTCAGCCACACACTTTAAATGCTCCTACGCTTTCATATGCTGCATACCTATTTCTGGGGCCCCTTCACACTAATTTCTTGCATGTAGCTCTGAACAATTTTGTTTATTGAGGTGGCGTAACATAACAGGGACCCCAGAGAGCACTAAGATGATCATCTGAGTTACACTGAAATCAGGAAAGCCAATAGACTTTTTGGTATGTTCTGTATGCCAACATACATCTAATTAGATACATACTTAGCTACAAAGCACTAAATCTGACACAACCAAGCCCATACCAGTTCTTCAATAAAGATTAGTCCTGGGTTAGAGCTAACCTTGATTTGTAATATGCTTGGAAAGACCTTTTATGTCCCTTCTGAAAGGGATTAGAAACTAAAGGAATGCCCAAAATTGATCTCATTTCCTAGGGGCTCTCTGTATCTAAAGGAGAAATGCACCTGGGCAGAACTGAGCCTTAGTTTACTCATCTATGAAATGGATATAGTAATACTTATATTACCTGCTGAACAGGTTCTTGTAAGAATCATAGAATGTTAGGATCAGAAGATACCTTGAAGATCATCTCATCTAACCCTCTCTTCTTACATATGAGTAAATTGAAGGTTTAATAAAGATAAATTACTTACTTGCCCAAGTTCATATGATTAGCAAATAGCAAAGCTAGAACCTAGGTCTTCTGACTCCACTTTACTTCTGTATGTGAAACACTTTGTAAATGGGAAGTGCTATATAGAAAGTGAAGGTTTGGTTGGTATTATCTCAGTGGGCCCCTTGGAATAACAAGATAACAAATATTTATTGAGTGTGAACTCTGGACAAAGTACCATACTGAGTGAACAAGAGAAATGGTGTTGAAAGATCTGACAGTTGCCAATCAGGGACATCCAAAGAGCTAGTGGTTCAGAGATTTTCATGGGGCTAGGAACATGCCAATCCCATGTAGTACCTAGTAGACCCAAGTGTCCTTGGTATAAACTGGGGGCAAGTTGTATAATTAGCTTAGGTAACTATGGAGGAGTTACCAGCTACCAGAAACCCTAAGTAAATAGCTTCTTGATGGAGACAAAATTGTGGAAAGAGTGAAAAGATCACAGAAGACACAAGTGGTTCCCATTTCTGTAATTTACTAGTTTTATGACCTTGGGCAGGTCACTTGTACTTTCTTATCCTTAATTTTATTAGTAAAATGGAAATACACCTCTGCGGTACTCAAGTATCATTGCTTTGAGTATCAAATTAAATTACTGACGTGAATGTTCTTTGGAAACTGAGTGCTAAGGAAATGTAAACTACTGCTTATTCTCAAAGAATTTTAGAACTTAAAGGGACCTCAAAGTCCATTCCATACAAAGTTCTCCTTTTTCTTTTCTGAAGCCTTGCGATCATGGTGTGTATATGTATATGTGTGCTGGAGGTGAGAATTGCTGCTGGTAAGTTTATGGTTGAGATATGAGGAGAAGATATTAGGTCAAGACTACAAACCTCCAAGAAGGGGATGTGGCAGAAACTAACTTGGGGAATGATACAGGGAGCATTTTCAGATTTACTAGTAGATCCCAGTCTTCAGTTTGGTATACTCTGATTTAGTCCAATCCCTTGATTTTATAAATGAATAAATTGGTGACCAGAGAGATTGTCAAAGGGCACAGATCTAATGAGTGGAAAGACTCAATCCTATTCTAGTCCAGGGCTTTCTTTTTCTTTCTTTCTTTTTTTTTTTTGCTAGGCGATGGGGTTAAGTGACTTGCCCAGAGTCACACAGCTAGTAAGTGTCAAGTGTCTGAGGCTGGATTTGAACTCAGATCCTCCTGACTCCAGGTCTGGTGCTGTATCCACTATGCCACCTAGCTGCCCCAGGGCTTTCTCCTTGATACTACTTAAATGGCCTTTGATGATCTTGAACTCATCAATTTATTCATTGGTACCTATTAATTATTTTCGGCTATGGGGAGTGTTATAGCCAAGGATAGTAAAAATAGAATTGGCCTTAGAGTCAAGTGGATCTGGCTGATGTCCTGCATTGACATTCTAGCTCTGTGACCATGGACAAGTAAGTTTAAACTCTCAGTGGCCTAGGCAAAGTTCTAAGTCTTTAAATTATAGATGAGTTATATAATTTTGCTGTGGTGGAAGGATTTTCCACACTGGGAATACCTGAAATTGACAAAATCACACAGGTCTTTGATACCTCAAAACATACACACACACGCTACATCTCAAGAAGCAGTTTTTTTTTTCAAAGAAAACCAAGCAATATCTTTTTATCTTGACTTAAATATAACCTTAGCTAGGTAGCCATAAAACCCATTGGAGAGCCCCATTTCTTTCTCCTAATTTCTAATGTAGGGCCTTCCTTCACCTTCCAACAGCACTGCCTCCTATAAAGGGAAGGCCTAAAACAGAAGGAAACTCTCGTATTCAATACGAAACCAGATGCAGGTCAGAAGGGCTCTGGATAAGCCTTTATTTTTCTCTTCCTTGTTCTCACCTAGGAAGGCACTGCACTTTAAACGCGTCTCTCAGAGCCCTCCACCACAGAAGGCAAGGGGAAAATGGAAGGAAGAGCTGAGCCTCGAAGAAGCTCCCCTTTCTCACTTCATGGACCCCTTAGCCAAGTCCTGCTTGGCCCCCTACTGGCCTTGCCCGAGAATCACGATGGCCTGTTCTTATCCTGGTGCATAATGGTGCCAGAATGCCTGCCAAGGCGACAGAGGCACAAAATTTAGGTACCAAGAAAGAGATACTTCAATTTCAAGCTTAAAAATTACTTCAGGTCCCTGAGGACTCAGAAGCAATTTAGAGGCTGATACCCTGAACAAGAAAAAGGTTAGAAGATTAAGACCAACCGCTGTTTGGATAAATGACTGGTAATTGCCCATATCCGCAATTATGTCCTGTCATATAATTTCTCCCTTACCTTGGTCCTCTCCTGCGTCCCATCAGGCCTTATGCGGTACGACTTCACCCTTACACCTTTCTTCTGACGTGCTTTCATAACATCATACTCTACCTCATCCATCAAGGCCCTGCAAGCTAAACAAGACAGAAAACACAGCCAGTTACGGAGGAGGGGAGTGAGAGCAGGATGGATGGAAAAGGTAAGCACAGCTAAGTGGAAGCGCTCGATTTGTGGGGCTTGACACCGGGGAAGGGAGTGTAGCATAGGGTGGGAAATGGACTTTCCAGAAACGGTGGGAAAGGAGAGCCATTTTCTGCACTGTTCAGCTGTCGGTGAGCTAAGGTTTGCAGCATTTCTAGTAGTCCCCAGGGACCAAAAAGGATTTTATTTTTCTCTTCTGTTTGTCCACCCACAAAACACGATGATGAGTCTGAAGAGTTCCCTCCCCCACCCCGAGTCTGTCTGGGGAGCCCTGTCAGGTATAGGACTACAAGTCTAAGAAACTTCCATTTTTTTAATGAGGGGGTGTGGAAGGAGTCAGCTCATCTCCACTGAAGACTTGCTTATTTTGAATTTCACTGGGGCTAAGGAGATCCTTTCTGAAAAAAACAAAACAAAACAAAAAAAAAAAACTAATGACTGGGGGAAATATGATATGTGCCAAAAACATCATAAGAGGTTTTAAAACAAATCTTGACTCTGACCTTATTTTCAGTTATTTGGTACCACCCAAAAGTACTGTAATAACTTCTTTATTGCTTGCCACTTTAGCTTTAGCATTCTTGTTCCTTGATTGTACCCTTACTAAGATTCACCCCAGTGCCTTTCTTCTAAAGGGTGGAGGCAGAAAGTACCATTAGGGCCTATTCAGGAGACTGTCCTACAGCCCCGGAAATTCAGCCAATGAGTCTCTGACTGTCCATGCTTTCTAGCCCTATTTTAAAAAATATCCTAACTTGTTTACTCCCTACTGTTCCCAAACAGTTAATTTCTTGAACTAGAACCCCCAGTGCTGTCACCAATGCACCGAGATAAGCTTTGTAATAGAAGGAGTCCTTCCAGAGAGATTCCTGCATCATAGAACTGGACCAGGCCAGCAGTCAGCAAATTCTTCCGGAATGCCACTACCTACCACCAAGCAGGGCTGAGCAAAACCCATGGGTAGTTAGGACTGGCAGACTAATACAGAGGTATGGGCAGAGACTATGGGGAAAGGGGGAATAGAAGTGTGATAGGCAGTGTAGCATAGTGGATAGCTTATGAGGCCTAAGTTAAAATCCTGCCTCAAACACTGACTAGCTGTGTGACCCTGGGTGAGTCATTTAACCTCTGTTTGCAGTTTATCCACCTGTAAAAATGGTGATAATAATAATAATAATAATAATAATGGCTGCCTTCCAGAGCTGTAGTGAGGATTAAATGAGATAGTGTATGTGTAAAGCACTATATGTAAGCAATTGTTGTTAATTGATGAGTAGAAAACAGAGAGGAAAGAGTAGATCTAGAAAAGAAAGCCAAACTGAACAATTCATTATTTCCTGATTATGCAGCTTTTCCTGTTGTTGGATTTTTGCTCTTGCTTCATTTAACTGAGAATATTTTTGTTGAAATCCTGACCATCCCTCGAGGTCCATTACAAATGCAATCTCCCCTAAACGTATTTCAGTGATTCCCTACAATCTAATGTTATCCTCCTTCCTCTGATCTCCCATGGTGTATTTTGTATCTTTTTAAAATGACTTTTACTGTAGTTATTTTATTGTCTTTGTCTTCCTTTGTCTTTTCAGAGGTTTCCGGTAGCACAATGGATAGAATGGTGGACTTGGAGTCAGGAAGACCTGAGTTCAAATTTAGTTTCAAATTTCACATTTACTAGCTGTGTGACCTGGATAAGTCACTTAACTTGTTTGCCTCAATTTCCTTAGCTGTAAAACATAAAAAATACTAGCACCTGCCTTGAGGAGTTGTGAGGAGCAAACGAGATAATATTTGTAAAAAGCGCTTAGCACAGTTCCTGCCACATAGTAAGCACGATGTAAATGTTTATCTCCCCTTCCTTTAGTCCCCTCAATCTAATCCCTCTTGCTAGATTACAAGTTCTCTGAGAGTATTGATCTATCTTTTTATCCTGTTAATGATACCTTTACATTGTAGGTATTCAGTCAATATGAGGTGAATTTCATTGTACTGGACTGAATTAAAAGAGGTGTCTACAGCACCATTGATGTGGATCAAAGGCAGCCAACAACTGCTTCAGAGGAACCATGGGTTCCCCAGGTGGTTTTTTTTTGGTCTGAGCTAAACCAATATCTCAGTGAAGTTACAACAGAAGGAGGTCTCTAGAGGAGTTCCACAGGTCTCTGGCCTTCATCCTATTCTGTTCCACATTTTTAGGAATGGCTTAAATAAAGGCATTGATGATATACTTATCCTACATGGTCCTGGGAGGGCAGAACAAGGATCAACAGGTGAAAATTGCAAATAGATGAATTTTAGCTCTCTCTAGGGAAGGAAAAATTTCTGAACAATGAAAATTGCCCAGAAGTGGATGGAGCTGCCTCAGGAACTAGCGCATAGAACAGTGCCTGGCACAGAAAGCCACTTAATGAATGCTTACTGATTGACTGACAGTGAGTTCAAGTCATAAGCTGAAGAGTGACCCTTTGTCATTGATGGTATAGACGGATTTCCATTCAGGTGTGGCTTGGACTAGATTTATACTGAGGTCCATCCTAGTTCTAAGACTGTATAATTCTGTGTTCACTGCAGCATTAAAGAAAAGAATAAGCGAAAAGCAGAGTGGACACCTTTCCCTTTGACCACCCTCTCTTATTTTAGAGACTCAAGTTGCAGGAACAATCACAAGGCCTGATGACTGAATAACTTCTTCACTTAGAGAAGTATACTAGAATCAGATGGAACTGTTCCTGAAAGTTGATTATTAAAATTTCATTGTGAGCATTTACGCCTCAAAATTGGGTGACATCAGAAATAAGGGCTTGTTTATTGTTTACTTGATTACCTAGACTTTAAGAAAGTGATGGGGAAAAATGTTAATAATTCAGATTAATCTCCCTAGAGATCTAGTTGTTAAACATGAACCAGAATACCCTCGCTTGTGAAGGTCAACCAGGCCCTTTTTCAGGGGTCGGCCAGATTTTAAGTCTCTGAGATAACAGGAACAGAAAGGTGGATTGATCTTAGTTGGCCTAGGGTATAGCAGGTCTGCAAATCCCTGGCCTCCTGGAGGATGGAGAAGGGGAGGGAGGCATTATGAGTTAGAAGCGAGGATAATTTTACATTTCTGCCCCAGGTCACAGAACAAGTTAGCTCCAGAGTCACAACTGCGACCTGGCTCTCCTGATTCCTAGTCCAGCATTAATTTAAATGTTAATCTGAAATCTTCACTTAAATCACTGGAGTTTAGAGTTTATTAGACCAGCTGGCAAGAGTGGAACAGTAGTGAGAGATTGACAGGTCACATTCGCTGCCAGAGGGCAGGCCCCTCCTCCCAGTTGGGCCCTTTCATAATTCATTTTTTTTCCTCTCTTTTTTGGGGGGGGGGTGAGGTGGGGGTTGGGGTGGGAACAGGGTGAGAGAAAAGTCGAATGAGAAAGGCATGGACGATTGAGATGCCTGTCGTGTCTGCTTCATGCATGCCCTCATCAACAGTGTCCTTTGCTAGCATGTAATCAACCAATCAACAAGTATTTATTGAGCCCTTCCTCTGTGAAAAGCACTATCCCAGACACTGGGCACCAAGAAGCAGTAAGACATGGCCTCCGCCCTTGAGGACTTTATGGTCTAGTTGAAGAGATAAGACAGATACACCCAGAAAAATAACCAATGACAAACTCTTGAAGGTATTGGACTGGGTCTGCTTTGGATTACCATATGCTCTCAATCATCTGTGATGACAGAATCACAGTAAAAAAAGTTAGAAGGGACCTCAGAGATCATCTAGGCCGAGAATTCCCTTTATAACATATCCAACAAGAGATATTCAACTAGGTACAAACAAGCTATCTACAGGATAAATTTGAAATAATCAACAGAGAGAAAGCTTTAAAGTAAGGGGGATTGGGAAAGGCTTCCTATGGAAGGTAGAATTTTATTCGGAAAGGAACTGAGGGAAGCGAGGAGGCAGAGACAAGGAGGAAGAGCATTCCAGGCACAGAGGGACAACCAGTGAAAATGCTTGCAGCTGGGAGATGGAGTCGGGTGTTCATACCACTGAGGTTCATTGTTAAGGAACAATATATGGTTTGAGTTCCTATCTAGTATATCCTCCTTCAGAGAAAAAGCAGATCAAATGGACTGACATCAAAGTGCTTAAATCACAGCAGAGTCAGCATAATGTAGTGGATAGAGACCTTGGAGCCAGGAAGACCTGGGGACAAGTCCTATCTCTTCCACACGCTGCCTATGTGAGCTGGGGCAAGTCGTTTAACCTTTCAGTGCTCTAGGCAACTCTCCACTATTAAAAGTTGTAGAGCAGGGTTAGATCTTGACTGGGAGAGTCTCTTCATCTGAGAGTCTCCCACACCTATTAAATTACAGGTCTAGTTCCTATGCCTAAAGCATAACTAAAAGGGAAAAATAATAAAGTGGTATGATACAGTGAAAAGATTATGAGTTTTGGAGTCAGGACCCAAGTTCAAATCCCAGTTTAGCCACTGCCTACCTGCCTACCTAGCGCTTAATCATTGAACGGGCATGGCCTCAGGCAAACTGAGACCTGGGAAAGACCCTAATTTAGAAAGGCAAAGGTCACTCATTTCATCCTGGGCCATCGCCCGCCATTTTGATCTTTGCCTTGACACTGGACTCCGATGACTATGGAGGAGAGAGCAAGGATAACAACTTTGTAAAGCTCTGCCTCACTCAAATGCAAATCAGTCGTAAGTCAAGACATCACTCTCATGATGTCATTGGTCCTCTTAGAGAATGAAGGATGAGCAACAATTACGGCCTTGGGCCAATTATTTCAGGTTCTTTTTCTGTAAAATGAGGGGGTTGCAATTGATAAATGGTCAAAGGATATGAACAGGCAGTTTTCAGAGGAAGAAATTAAAACCATCTATAGTAATATGAAAAAATGCTCTAAATCACTATTGATTAGAGAAATGCAAATCAAAACAACTCCAAGGTACCGCATCACACCTATCAGATTGGCCAACATGACAAAACAGGAAAATGAGAAATGCTGGAGAAGATGTGGGAAAATTGGAACACTAATGCATTGTTGGTGGAGTTGTGAACTGATCCAACCATTCTGGAGAACAATTTGGAACTATGCCCAAAGGGCTATAAAAATGTGCATACCCTTTGACTCAGCAATAGCACTTCTAGG